AAAAAAAAAAAAAAAATACTGTTTTCCTACTGGCCTTAATGATTACACTAACATTGAAACAAGAAGGCTTTGACTTGTAGACAAGTCTGGGCCAGTGTGTGGCAAAATCTATACGCAACCTCACTGAACCCACCTTCTTCTGCTGTTCATCTTCCTCCAAGAGCTTCAGTCTTTTGCACTCCATCTCTTTGTACTGAATGCTTTCCTTGGTGAGTGGATTATAATTATTATGCCCAGGGAGCAGGCGGAAATAGCGATTCTTTTCAGGATCATAGTAGAATCCGGGAAGTTCTTTAAAAATAAATACCAGACAGAATTAGATTGGTGACCAAGTCTGTCTATTACTCTTTGACCCTGTTCATCTTCACAATAATGACAAAGGACCACCAATTTTCAGGATCCCGTGTCCAAAGGACAACTGGAAACTTCTGCCTCCAGGTTGGTCTCAAATGTATGGCACAGGAAAAGATGCTGATTAATAAGACATGAGGCGAGGCAAATTTCTCTTCAAATAGCAAAAACCTACACCTAGAGAAAGTCAAACTATCCTCCTCCTATCACCAGATAGTCACTACATTGGTAGGAAAAGAGAAGCTAGCAGTGAAAGAAAAAAAAAATCAGCAAACAAAAGGAAAAGCAGCAGGAATAATAGCTGCTTCAGAACAAAAGCATCCATTTTGCTTGTCACCACAGCATGCTGCAGAGGGGAAAAAATTATAATGGGACTAAACATGAAAGACAAAGGGCAATTAAAAAAATCAACCAAATATAAAGCTAGTGATTCCTTTCCTCAGAACAATCACCCTTTCCTGAATATGCTTCCAAACCAGATATTTAAACAATTATAAGTAAACAATACATTTTGACTGCTGATCTACTGGTCAACCCAGTATGCTCAAATCCTTTCAAAAGTAGAACAGGAAGAAAACCATATCCAGCACATTATTTCTTAGGACTGGTATTTTTCAAGGGGGGCAGGGGTTAGATAGGCAAAAATAATTGCTAGGATAAATTCATAATCATGCAATGCGTAAAGCCTATCTTTCCTCCTGAAAAAAAGTAAATACCATATTTTCTCACAAACAACATGCACCTCTCCTCCCAAAATCAGCCCCCATAATTGAGGTGACTGTATTAAGCGGGGAAACTTTGTTTTGATTCCTGATCCACAGTGCAGCAGCTGTAGTATTATTGTTGAGGCGGCTGACAGAGTCAATTGACTTACTGGTTCATTGCTCTTCACTCTACAGGTGTTAACAATCATATCCTTTTTATAATCTTAATGTTCTACTAATCAAGCTAGTCTTAGGGAAGTTTTGCCAACTCCTTCCAATCTCAGTTCAAAAGCCTCTTTAGCTCTTTCAAAATCATAGGTCCACCCATGGAGACCAGACTTTAGCAACAAGTATAAGTCTA